CTATGTTTTGCTCCTGGTGGGTCTTCTTTAGTCGACGGTCACATAGGCGGGGATGGATATGTGGCTTGCATGTGTACTTTTTCACGAAACACAGGTATCTTATGGGGGGCTCGTCTTGCTATGTCCCGTTATTGATGGCTATGTTTTGCTCCTGGTGGGTCTTCTTTAGTCGACAGTCACATAGGCAGGGATGGATATGTGGCTTGCAAGTGTACTTTTTCACGAAACACAGGTGTCTTATGGGGGCCTCGTCTTGCTATGTTCCGTTATTGATGGCTCTGAGACGATGTTTCTTTTTCTTCATGTTCTTTTTGCAATTCAGTAAAAATGCGCTACATCAAAGATGGTAATGAGATCCCTTTCTCGGCCTTGCCTTTGTTCTTCCTTTTTTTTTGGGGGGGGAACCATTTCTCCATTTATGTGTGTCATCCTTGCACAGGGGCCATGTTAATCTTACCTGTATCGTTCCAATTCTAGCGCATGTCGCGAAGAACTCGGCCATGCCTTTTGTCTACTGTCAAAGTGTAATCTATTACGATCATTTTAATATCTGACCTGTGTTCCACCCCGCCTTATTTTGGGGGAAAGAGAGATGTCAACTGGATGTGGGTGCGCTAGAATGGCAAAACCCCGGGCCGCTACATGGGTTTGCTTGGCTTAGAGAGGTTGCCCGTTTGCTCTTGTGAAAACATGCTGTAGTGGCGTAGTCACTTTCCCTTATTCTATGTCTTGCTACCTGTTCGTTTTGATGATTGGAAATTCGGTCTGCTTAACAACAGCATTTATTTATGTCATACGGCTGGAGCTGAAGCGTATCTTTTCATTTTTATTTTTCTGGTTTTATAACCATGTTTTGTGTGTGTGTGGGGGGGGGGGGGGGGGGGGGGGGGGAATGAGAAGCCAGCAGTAGTAGGATCGTTGGTTGCTGCATTCTATTGGTGGGGAGCATCACCTTTTGGAAATCGGTATTAGGTACAGCATTTCCTCCTTTCTTTCTTTCCTTCTTTCTCTCTTTTTTGTTTTTTTTCATCCCGTGCCAGTGTGCTGGAGGGGGTGATACGAGCATCCCCCTCTAGTAGCGCCAGCTGCGGGTGGCTCCTGTGGAATATGGTCCAGCATCCCATGAACATCTGGGTGAAGCTTTTCCTAAAACGGGCTTGCTCTCCTTCTGCGGCTGGACATAAGATGGGCAAGGAGCACCACATCCAGCCGTGGTTCTGTTGTTTCTGCAGCTGGCACAGTGAACCTTGCTCTTTCTGCGCCGACATTGAGGCCTTGCTCTTTCTGCGGGTGGACATAAGAGGGGCAAGGAGCACCACATTCAATCATGGTTTTGCTGTTTTGTCCACTCAAAGACAACTGTCATACCAGATTTGTTTACTATAAAGTTATCTTCTTTGGTGTCGGTGGTTCGACAATGTGTGTGTTCTGGAGCTGCGATGGGACGCTGGACTGGTCCATCTCTTCAACAGGTGCGAGTTGTAGATAGGTCACGGAAGTGAAAAAGGGAATCAAAGAAAACAAAATGCTGTAAGTGGACTTCTGGAGAGGAACTTGCAACTTCTGTTGGAGGACAAACTCGATTATAGTGGTCATATAATCTCATATTGCTTGGCGAAAACGGTAAAACACAAGGCTCTTATTCAGCACACACTGCTTCCTTTCCAACAGCTTACCTGCGCAACCAGAAATCTCTCTCTCTCTCTCTCTCTCTCTCTCTCTCTCTCTCTCTCTCTCTCTCNTAGATTGATTGATTGGTTTATTGATTGATTGATTGATTGATTTGTTGGGGAGGGGTTCTCCCTCCCCTCTCATGGCACATGAGGTGCTATGTTGCTGTCTCTTATACACATCTAGATGTGTATAAGAGACAGCTCTCACACACACACACACACACACACACACACACATCCTGACGAGTCGGTGAAAGTCCAACGAAACAGTCTGGCACAGTCGTGCTTTTTTTGAGTGTATAGTGAATATGGCAACACACACACACACACACATCAGACGCACACGCATACCAACCACTTCCCTTCATAAACCCACTCATTTCCCCAAATAATGATATTGAAATATAACACCAACAAATAATCAAACTGCACATGCAAACCTCGCTATCCTGACACCATCCACACATTGTTGCAAACACCCAAACATAGGAAAATAAACAGGCAAAAACCTGACGTGTGGACAACCCACCAACTCTTGACACGGAACTCTGCAATGCCGAAACCGATCAAACCATTGCCCCCTGACCTGTATTGCTGCATTATGAGCCAACACAGCCAAAACCCATCCTCACCTCACACTCCAACAACCGGCCCCTGACATACGTCCCCACAGCCCGCCTCATGCAATGCAAGCCCCTATCAAAACCTACATACAAGTTGATACCTCTCAGAAAAATGACCAGGTCGGCATAACACCATGCCTCCCCCACCAACCCAGCCACCCCTGTCCCACAACCCCGAATCCAAACACACACACACCCACATACACACTCACACTGAGTCACACACGAATGCCTTCATAAATGCCCACCCATTTGTCAAAATAATAAATGACGTAATCATAATAATTTTTTGTGAAGACAAAAACCGCCTACCATAACACCAACAAATTATTACCCCAACACCAAGCAGGCAAAGACAAATGACCCTTTTGTATGCAAACACACTTCTACTATGCTCAGAACATCCAATTATAAGAAATATTCAAAAAAATAAAACCTGCTGCATGCACCACCTACCAGTTGCCAACTCAACTTCGCAATCTGGAAACGGAATCGCACCCCATGCCCCGCTTGCTACCCCCCAAACTACTTCCCACTGAGCAACCCCCCAAAACCCAACCTCGCCTCACAGCCCGCCCACCAATCCCACACCTACATCCGGAAAACCCATGTCAGAATCCACAGACCCCACCAAAACTACAAACCACCCTCAAAAAATGACCGGGGCATCATAAGTTGCGTAACCCAATGATGGCCGCACCCACCAACCCCTGAACTTCAACCCCCCAATACACACACACACACACACACACACACACACACACAACCCATCCCCTCGACCAAAAACACTTCACCATTCACCGCAATACCTGACGGACCTCATAAGCCCCCTCCAATGAAATAAAATGTCTGGGATCGAGTCTCTTGGCACCACAACCTCATAATCACCCCTCCAGAAAAAGAAGATCACAAAGTAATGACATGCCACAATGCCACTACACCAACTCAGCACCTGGGTTAATTGTGTGTCTTTTAAATACGTTCAACTCGAGACTGAATCTGGAAAAGAACACAAAAATGACCAACCTGCGTAAAGAAAAAAATGAATTCGACACTATATCTAATAGAGAACTTTTAAGTGACCAATCTCGGATCGACGGGCACCAGGGCATGTTCCGGGCATGAGGTGGGTGAACGGCCGCCTGAGAGAACACCCTAGTGGTATCTGCTTTTTTAGGGTTAGTATCTTGTCAGATTCTTTTCTGACAATTTGCTTTCCTGCCGCTACCAGTTGGCCTAACTTTTCTTTGATTCCTGGCCATAGCGGCAAGCTGGTCTTTTGATTGTCACGGGCGCTGGTGGTAGAAGATGTGAAAACATTGCACTTAATGGCGTAAGACCAAGCTAAGATTAACTGGTGGAATGGATTGGTTGATCCATGTTGAGAATATGATTGCCGCTTTGGTCAAAGACAGTCTCTGCTGCCTGTAGGAGATTGCTACACGCTTCAACATTGAGAAGCAGAATCAGAAGGGTTCTTCGATTCCCCACTTTGGGATTGGAAATTGAAAAGAAAAAGTTGTGAATCAGTTGTCACGGAGACGGAGAAGATATTCCTCCATTTGTGATGTGGTCTTCTTTACAGCGTATCAAAATCCTGCATCCTTTCAAAAAACAAAGAGCTATTATAGGTGATACTATAATAGTGTCTTTGAAACAAGTACAAATGGGTATCAACACTCAGAATGTGCTTAAAGCTAYTGTAGTGGAAACAAGAAAAGCCACCAAATATCGAAAAAATGGCAGTTCTCCATGGTATGGATGACATCTTCAACTGTCCTGCCAGCTTACGCTACGGCGCTTGCCATGTCATGCCATTTGTGCAGCACTAAGAGGTGGGAAAAGTTGCTTCGCTTGTAGTCTCTGAGCCTCCTGCTGATTGACCAATGAATTTGGAACTTCCATGGAATTTCGCTCCATATTCACAGAACAATCCATGTTCCCTTTTAACCTTGCATG